AAATTAAAAATGATCAAATGTCAGTTTCCTTACACACTTTGAGTTGAAATGACTAAGCAGGTCTCAGTGTGATTTGGTCATGGCTTAGCAACACACTGAGCCTACACTGCTTCTTTAATGGAGATCGGTGCAAAAGCTGAATGTGACATGATGTCTTCTTCCAGGCGAAGCTGTCGCTCTCTCTGAACATCATCAGCTTCTTCTGGTCAATTGCGGCGATCGCTCTCAGCGTGTTCTTCATCATCTTATCAAATGACCACCAACACCACACTACCACGGTAAAGGAAAACCCCACTGCCCTCGACTGAGTGAAATACAAAACAAATGTGTTTTCACCTCCAATAATCTCCTTGACCTGTTCACAGGTGTTCAGAGGAGTCAGTGGACTGATAATGGGTCTGCTGGTTGTTGAATGTTTTCTCGCCCTGTTCTTGATCTACTGGTTAAGCAAAGCTGTTTGCAGGCAACACTTCAACACTTTGGTATGTTTTTTCATTGCAGCTACTTTTATTTCCCTCGAAAAAATATATTGTAATTACTAACGGTCTTTCTTTCTCTGCAGCCCATCATACTACTGAAACATGGAGACTGAAATACAAGACTTGATGGAGCTCAACAAACCAACCGACCATATTTAAACTTTTAACTTCCTGGTTGTGTAAGAAGTGCACATCAGCCCATCAGTGTCGCTCAGTTTATCGCTCAACGCATGCTATAAAAAAGGAAGTTCATAGTAACCTGATTCTTTTTACAATTACCTGTTTTATTCTCTTTATGTCTGAGCTCCTGGAACTTTTTAGATCATATCTGAAACCTACATATTCCTGTTGAATGCCTTTAGATGATGGATTGCTGTGGTAGCATATGTGTACTGCCCCAATTATTAATACAAATGTAAAGACTTAAAGATGTGTCTTTAAATTTCACTGACCCACTTTGGATCTTCTTTTAATTATTGACTCACATTTCTAGACGACTGCAGTGTGTCCTTGATAAGACTTGATTTTAAAGTATGACTCCCATTACTTTAGAAAACCAAAGACTTTTAAACTGACAGATACTGTAAAATTTCTAAATTTGATTCAACACCTTTTAATTCTTTTTCTTTTGTCTTATTAAGCTGAAGCACCACTCATCTGCTGTAGACATGCCCCTTTTTAGAGACCAGCAAGGTGCTCAAATTATGACAGACAGAATATTTTATTGTGTTACATTTCCTACCAACTGAAAATTAAATATTTTAGCTTGGAAAAACTGGTTGAAACATACAACATGTCCTGAGACATTGTGGTGATCGAGCTTTGGAGACCTAAACTGAGAAATGTCCTACGACTCCCTACACCACTAGGGTTTGCTGATTCTGTGGAGTCATTTTAAGTCTTTTATGCTCTTAACTGGTCTCTGTATGGTTTTTCTGTGTGTGTGTGTGTGTGTGTGTGTGTGTGTGTGTGTGTGTGTGTGTTTTCTGTTTCCTGTTTCCTGTTTGTCTGAATTTTCTACCTTAAAATATGTTTAAATATTACACAATATGCCTGTAATATGTTTAGGTAGATCTTAATCATCTTAACATTTGTCAAATCTGCTTCTTTTGCACTTGAAATCGTTTGAACTGTTTTTGCAACCAACATAGTTTGTAATGTCTTCATGGGTTTTTTCTCAGTGGTATTAGAAATTAGGAAGCTGTAATAAAACGACAAACAACACCAGCAACCACTATGCTGCAGAAAATCGATAATTATTCTGAACGTTTTCTTGCAATGTTGATGTAAGGCAGTTACCTGTTTCACCACAGGGTGGCACTGTGTACATGTAGATTTGCTCACGTGGGACGCCATGTTGTCTTTAGTGTTTATCTGCCTTTTCCCTGAAAGGTAAGCGTGGTCAGGCGTCCTACGGGACAGGTGAGTAAGACCCAGTGTAGTTTCCAGTCTGCATCAAAATGAAGTCACTCAAATAAACTGTGTCCTTTATTTATACACAAAAACAAAGATTTACACATAAAGACGTTTGGCCTATTGTCTGTTGTGTAGACTGCAGTTATGACTCAGCTGCTGAAAGTTCAGGAGAACAATCAGCTCCCGTCATCAGTGTCTGGTGAAGACATGATGAACCTGATCGAGGAGGAGAGCAAAACGTCTCTGAGAGTGCAGTAAGTCATTAACACAGGATTTCAACACTTCATTTTTTCCCATTTACAAACATCCAGAAATAACATCAAATACAGTAGTCTGGCTGATTTCGTTTCATACTGTTGTCCTGGTCATCCAGTTCTAACTCAAGCTCCTCTTATCCCTGAGCTTCCAACCATATTTTACTTATGATTGACAATCAGATTTACCTGATTGTGAAATGAACATGAAGAGAGAGCAACCAAATCACATATGACATTTACTTTGTTAAAATGCTTAAAGTTAACTGGATCAGTAAAATAAACTACATATATTTAAATAGATAAATTCAAATAACAATGATATAGGTTCTTTGTTTGTTTCATGGTATTGCTGTTTATACAAATTTACATTTATTTTCAACAAGTTTATGACTGAATCCCACTGAGGGCCCTTTCTGCACATGTGTTGGGACACTACTCTGAGGTGTTAATCTCAATAACACATTTAAAACTGATATGAAAATATAATAAAATCCTTTAAACTACTAACCCCAGTTCTATAACTGAATGATGAAGGATTTGGAAACCTAAAAGAAAACACACAAATATACTCTGGCAGAAAAGTGTTTATTTTGCTCTTTATTATGAACATATAAGTTGATATATCGGATATGTAAATATATTCAATTTAATAACCCTATGAACCACAAATCACATTCAGAACTAACCTAATGATATTTTCCTTGCTAAGTTGATACTATTTCATTTATCAGTTGAAAGTAAAAGGAACAGTGTTGCACAGTGATGCTCATGTCAACTAAGAGAACATGACCGAAGCGATCAATGGTGCCAGCAGGAGCAGGAGGCCTGCACGTGTGCTGATGGCACTGTTGCAGAAGTTCCCCTGACAGCAGGTCAGCTCTGCTTTAATGACTCCTGCTATCTCTGCAGTTTGTGCACCTGAGCACATCATTGAGGAGCCACAGCCCTTCATGGTCGTCTTTTCACCCCCGAGGTCCACTGAGAGATGAGGAGTGGTGTTAGAGTGTGAGCTTCATGTTTTAACGTCTATAGAATCACCACTGTGGGCCTGTTACCTGTGGTTGAAATGCAGTGGTCCTCATTCCCCTCACAGTTTACAGTTCCAGTGCACGATTTTCCATCACAGCTGAAGCACTTTTTACCATTGGGATTGGATTTCTGGGGCTCTGTACCGCAGAGTGAATATTGTTAGTGTTCATTTTAGACAGTAGAGGGCGGCAGAGGCAGGCAGACAGACACACACACACAAACAAACAAACAGAAATTGCTATGTGCAGCTCCACTGTGGCAGTTGGGATATTGTGCCCTTGGGCTCCTCTATAGCAGATGGTAAGGTAGGGGAAAGTAATTTACCTCGTACTGGCTTGTCTTGGAGTTTGAGAATTGTCCATCTAACATCTAACATATGACATCTAATAACCATCTCAAACATTTTTCATCAAGTTCTGATTCAGCTCAAGACAAAAAATGTAAATAATTGACATTGTTTAGCTGTTTTTTTCTGTTTCTTTTTTCTATTACAACAACTGAAATCTGACTTCAATTCCAACTTTTAATGCAGTCACAGGGAGGGTAAGAGTTTTACAATTTTGGACAATTCTTGCACATGCAACTAAATGCCAGGTTTAAACAACAAAAAGCTTTCATGAAACATCCAAACATCAATAGACAGAATATGTGACCTGGTGCAAATTGAGTGTTGCAGAGCTCAGAGGTGCAACACTTGCTGGTAATGTACGTTCTGCTGACTCCAAAGTTGAGCGAGCCCTCAACACACTGTTCGGCCGTAACACAGGTTTTCGCATTGATGTCGCTGACTTTCAAATCACCTGCAATAGAAGAGTAACCTCTAGTGAAGTGTGCCACTATGTAATAATGAGGACAGTAAACCACAAGAGTACCATACCTGCATATGTGACGACTCTCAGGGCGCCACACTGAGCACCCTGGAATGGACATTCTTTTTCTGTGTCTCTGCAGGATCCTGACCCTCCAGGTAAACACTCAAAACACTTTAAAGTGGAGGCTGAGGGAATGCATATCTCAGTTTAGTTTGAAAAAAATGCAACTTTTCTTATAAAAAAGATGTGGACAAAGACATTTTAAGTCTAAACATTCACTCTCAAGTACAGTCACCCTTATTATAAGCACAGCAGCTCTGAAACAAGTAAAAGGGATAATTAGTAACATTTCTCTGTGGGGTGGAAACATCTTTGACGTTTCACACGTAACCTTAGGTGGCCAATTTCTTGGCAGCATGTGTCAAGGCAAATTTGTTAACAGAAAATTACTATTCCTCTTTCCTCAAAGATTTTGAAGATTTTAAAAATCAGATCACAGAAAAAAAAAAACCTTACCTTTCGGGAGAAGCACAATCCCAAAGATCAGGAAGAGATGCATTTTGTGAGAGAGAGAGAGACAACTGATTCGGTTTTGATTTGTCTGTTGGTAGATAATCCTAAAAGGGAGTGGTCTCCTTCACTCTCACAGGACTCTTTCACTTACCTTTGATAACTTTCGTTTACGTGGATATGAAAGCTACCTTCTAACGGTTAACTATTAAAATGGCAATGTTGGTATCGGTATGAAATGCTATACCCGGCCAAGTTCTGATTCAGCTCAAGACATTAATACAGAACCACATATTATGTAGAGCCTATATATAAAAATGTAAATAATTGACATTGTTTAGCTGGTAAAATCCATTTGTTTTCTGTTTCTTTTTTCTATTACAACAACTTTTAATGCAGTCACAGGGTGGGTAAGAGTTTTATCATTTTGAACAATTCTTGCACATGCAACTAAATGCCAGGTTTAAACAACAAAAAGCTCTCATTCAACATCCAAATATCCAATCCTTCACTTAACTTTCATTTTCATGGAAAAAAGATTGTGACACTTTACTCACAATCAGGCTGAACCAGGGCGTGTATGTGAAAGCTACCTTCAAACGGTTAACTATTAAAATGAGGTGGGTCAGTATGAAAAGTTATATCCGGCCTTGTAAGATGATTTATCACAGTTTGGTTGTAGCACTGTGCAGATTAAGAACCACACAAATGATCTTGTTGCTGAACTTTTTTTATTCATGAGTATTACTCTTATAGTGATGTATTAAAGAAAATAAAAAAAGAATTTACAGAGGGCTGTATACTTATCTCAGACAATGTGTGCACTACCACCACATCAAAACTGCAGTTACGACATCTACGACTTGCAAAGTTTTTTTTAACCACACATTGCTTAGACATTTACAGACAATATATTGCTCCTCTTCTCCCACATGACACTTCCTGAGGCAGGGACAGGAAACTTTCTGACGTGAACCTTTACTTTACTCCTGCGTGGCATGTGACTCTTCAACACTGACCAGGCTTGTGGTTTCACTTCCTAAAGGGCCTGAACAATGATCCTTAATTCAGGACCACATTTGCCCTGAAGTGATATACGAAGATACACTGCAAATAGTGGTTGAATGAAAATTCAACCAAGGTGTTAGCACAGTAGTCGACTGTATTCTGACAGCGCTGAGGACTTTTTCACCCCATCCCAGATACGAGCTGCATAGTGAAACCTGTAAAAACAGAAAACAAAAAATAACAGGTGTGTCACACCTAAATATACGCGTTGATACACATCCACCTTGTGAACATATTGATATAATGACTCTGGAAAACCTTCAGCAAGATCAGGATAACACCTACATTACCTATTAAAATAAATATATTGCTTGAATAAACAATCCAAATAGGTCGGGGGGTTAAACTTTGTCGAGTCCCTCTCTACCTCCCCCCCTTTACGTCTCCTGCACAGTGGTGAGCAATAGAGCTGTGGGCATGTGTCTTGATTCTTGCAACATCGATGACTCTGTTTCAATGAGACAGAACACAATCGATTCATGTTGTTTTTAGCTTTGTCTCTTCGCTGAATAATTATAACACCAAGAGCTGCAACATGCAATTTCAACACTAGATATCACAAAATTCTGTACCTTTAAGTAAAGAATGTGAGTACTTTTGCCACCTCTGGGCACACGTTTAAAGTTGCTACACAAAACGAGACGTGACGCACACAGTCAGGACATCAGGGTTAAGACGCACCATGGTGTTTTAACTACTTTGTTGCAGAAGAAGTGACACCCCGTTTATCCAGGAACATAAATATTAATTCAGCAGTATGGTGGAAAATTATCTTGTAGTTGAAAAAGTAACTTGTTTCTAAGCCTTTAATGACCTGAACCAGAAACCAGATCATCCACCCACTGTACACACCTTAGCTGCTTCACATAATACACATACACGTTCCAGAGAATACACCTGTACGAGTGACTTCGGGTCACCTCTGTTGGACCACGATGGAATGCTGACCTCTGTATCATCCCTTCAGACAGCCATCCCTGTGTGGCCTTAGAGGAACTGCACTTTTCCTCTTGTCAATAATTGTGATAGTGGTCTTCCCTATCATTTGCATATTGGTCTGGCTCCATAGTCAGTTCCTTGTGACGACTTGCTTTCTTTTACATCCATCTACAGTTCCATTCAAATGCAAGCTGATACAGGATAGTAAATAGTGATTTCCCCGGCTTGCTCTTCATGTCAGAAAACCTGTGTCGACAAACACAGCAATTTGCTTACCTTACAGTATTGGTGATGATACATTTTGAATCCTTGTGAAGGGGTTGAATTTGATGTTTTACTGTGGTTGTGCATTGTCTTATGTTGTCATTAATGACCAAAAGGGAGGAAGTGTGGTGGAAAACTATTTTGTATTTGAAAAATATTAACTGACATTAACTTATGAAATCTAGGAGAATTGTGGATATGATACACTGAAATGCATCCAGATACATTGTTGTACATTTGAATCATTTGTTTGTACCAGATTTGAAGTCATTCCCTTAAGGTTTTCTGGAGATATCATGTTCACAAGAATGGGACAGACAACGCTAAGGCATAATGCCTCCAACCACTGACTGTCACCAGTGCAGAGTCATAATTATACAACATATTATGATCATATTTATATAAAGTGACCAGTACTCTGAGAGATGTTGTTCATGCAGAAAATAAACCTGAATTAAAACTACACTAAACTATAAAAAAGAGGGTGGTGGAAACAAGATATTGAAAAGTCGTGACAGGCATTTCAATTGTGGTGGTATGAATGAAGAACATATAAATGTAAAGTGGTTCTACCAGTTCTTCTCTGTTAGGATGGTGTGGGACAGCTGACAGCGGGGCATGGTCAGTACTTGGCTGCGAAGTTTAGAAACCATGGTGGAGAAAGAGGGGTGTCCTCTGTAGCCCGGGAGTAGGGAAAAGAGTGGGTATGTTCCCGGCCCTAAACATGAAACCATGATTAATTCACACGTTACACAATGTACAGGAGGACAACTGAGTTCTCTCTTCTGTGAAAATAAAGCCTTATTACCTGCTTTAGTCAGATTATCTTCCCCATCACTCTCCTGCACAGGAAGAAGGAACATGTTGACCTCAGGTGACAGATAGTCCGCTCCCAGGCCAGGGAAGATGTTGCAGTCCAGCATGGACAATGTACCTTAAGACAAACCACATAATATAGAAAGAGTGCAGGTTTGGCAAGTTTGTAGACGCAATTTAGGGTTTATTTGATATGGTACCTTTGTATTTGAGATGGGAGTGGGCCATTAATTTATCCACCACCATATGCATGTTCTTCAGATTCCTTGGGCAGAAATCATCCCGCTTAGCCTTATTCTGGAGGAACACTGCGTGAACAAGTAATTTTAAAAGGACAGTTTATTCAGTTTATGATCATTGAAGCTGGTTGGTGTGTGAGACTGTGTTTGTTTTTCTGCATAACAAACCTATATGGGGATAGTACTCTGCTCCATCATCACTGCCTGAAGAGCCAGTGCTGTCATGGCTTGCAGACGGAGTGGAAGGTTTCAGCATCTCAGCGGTTTGAAGAAACCTATTGACAAACATTAAACAACAGTAAACCTTCTGTGTGGTACCAACATCTGCAAACCAGGACTGGGCAGGGACGTGCACAGACATTTTGGGGGGCAAGGGCTAAAAAAAAAAAAGGGGCACAGTCATATGTGTTTGTAAAGAAAAATGAATACACTCACACAATTGCTAAATACTCAACAGGAGTAGAATGAATAGTTATTAAATGAGGAGCCTACAATCAAAATTATGAACATTTACGGGTGTGGCGCTAGACCACTGGTGAAGAGGGAGCTGGGCCAGAAGGCATACCTCTCAATTTACCAGTCGATGCTCCTAACCTCTTTTATAGTCATGAGCTTTGGGTAATGACTGAAAGAATGAGATCTACAAAATATATACAAAGAATATCTGGGGGAGCTTGAGGGTAGAGCTTCTGCTCTTTCACATTGAAAAGAGCCAGTTGAGTTGGTTCAGGCAGGTCTTCTACACACATCCAGACAGTAAGGACCCACCTCTTCCAGGATAGACCCAGAACATGCTGTATTGCATCTCAACTCATTTGACCTGGGAATGCCTTGGGATTCGCCCAGGAAGAGGTGGAAATCTGAGCTACTTTGGAGAACTACGACCCCATCCCAGATAAGCAGCAGAAAAAGAAAGGATGGAAAACTGAAAATAAACAGTTTTTTGTTTACAAAACCAACAGGGCACCATTAACAAATTCCTCATTCCTTCTTGCATTGGCTGCATTAGATATATGATTGGGACATTTCAACTGCAAACAGTATACAGGTTAAAAAGATTAGAAAGGGATATGCTCTGCTGAGACAGTAAACTAAATACTTGATAAATCTAAATACTATATCACTTTGCTGTAAAGAAATTGGGATTTATGGCCATAACACAGTTCTCCTCCCTGATTTTCAGGACACTCACTGGTTTTCAACAGGTCTAGCATTTGGCGGTGTTTGTTGTTTACAGGACCAACACAAAGCATAACATTATTGAGCTCATAAAAAAAGCAGAAGACAAATATCCTCTCAAGATCCAAGATGAAATATTCAACATTCCTATGGGAGGGGGGAACATGCAAGTTATTGTCAGAGTCGTGCAGATTGCTAACATTTCCTTGCGAAGCTGGGGAGTTAGTATCACACAGATCAATCGCAAATAAACATACCTGTAGAGGTTTAAGTCAGTGAACCAGTCTTGAACCACAATGATCACATGGCAAACAGTGAACAGGAAGGCAGCGATCTGAAGTGACTGTAAACATATTATAGTGAGCATTGATGTGGTTATATTTCATTGTGTGTGTACAGAATTAAAATGACTGTTAAACCGTTTGGCAGTAAACAAAGGGACTAAAGGTACATGTTGGTCTGTCGAGGTTCAGCACCAGAGATCACATTAATAGCTTGTGTTTTCATGAAGCGCCCCTTTGCAGGCTGCTCACTTGCCTGCATCTCAACGTATGTGTGAGGGAGGTTGTACTCTGGGGGCAGCTTCCGGTCGTTGTTGATGAGGTGGTCCAAAATAGATGGACTGAGCATTGGCTGAAGAAACAAACAAACAAATAAGGCATTAAAACACATCTTGTTGCTCCATCTACAGGTAAATTATTTTTCGGACTAGAGGCTCATTTATGCTGCTTTTACAAATGAAAAGAGATGTGTCAGTTTCAAATGATGTTTTCATCACTACCTACATGCTTCCATGCATCCTATGCTTGATAAGCAATACATCCACTAGAGGACAGCACAGAGTCGAGAGTTTCTAACAACATGGTCACGGTGGAAGAGGTTGTGAAACAGACGCCTGTAGTTTCTTTCCGACTCTTAAAGTCCCAACTCAATCAGTTTTGCCATTTTTTAAATTTCTTCTTACGGTTTTATGGATGTCTTGATTAAGCTATTGGCAACACTTCTGCCCATAATTTCTGTTGGTACTGTTCCATTTTGTCTGTTTTATCCATATCCTTTAAAGACATAGAGGACGTGCACAAAAATTAATGGAATAAACACAGAGACTGTACAGAAGGCTCCAACCGTTACTTCTCTCTATTCTAACGTGAAATTTACTTTTACAGAGTGTGTTTATAGAAACATACTCTGTATCTTCAATACTTTATTATTACCTGTGTATCCAAGAAGATGACTCTCTCCTGTGTGATGAAGAAGTCAATCCCTGTGCTCTGGTTCCCTCCTCTTTCCTTGATCTCTTGAGTCTGGGCTCTGAATACATAACTCCTGTGCAAACACATGTTAAATCCAAACACACAGAATCAGTACTTAATCTCTCTCTTACTGATGGTGCAAGTCACAGACCATGAAACATGGGAGAGTGATTTTTTCATACCGTCACATCAGTTCATTACAGTGTCACACGTTGAGCTTGGTTGTTTCAGTGGACTATGCTTTCCCTGGTCAAAGCATTTAACTACTTGAAATTGAGGTGTTTTATTCTGGTGTTGTCAGTGGTGTACTGACAGAAACTTTTACAGGCAGTAGAAAGTCAGTAAAATTATTCTTAAATTACATAAAGTTCTTCTTCATACAAAAGGACCTTTTCTGGAATTACAGGAAAGCCTCATCCTCAATGTGTGCAAAGTATCTTTAAGACACTGAATCCTTTTTTTATATTATTTGTTTTATTATATTATTCATGTTTTATAAATTTTTAATGGCTTTATAATTAAAAGAAATCACTACATCATTCACGTGTTACTGAGCAGTTTACAAGCTTGAGCTTATTGTTGTTGTTTTTTAATAACATTACCGTTGATCTTCCTCAGGGGTGTTGGCAGATAAAAGTGACATGACTGTAGACTTCCCAGTTCCCTGAAGGCCAATGACTCCCACCACCAACATATCTGTCTGGTCCCTCAGATACTGCAACGCATCACAACAAAAAGCAACTTCCTCAGAGTAAAAACAATACAATGTATTCAAAATATTTAATACAGTGGCTCCACAATCAACTAAATTCATTAAATACTCACCTCCATGGCACTGTCACACCAGTTCATCTGATCATCCACAAGCTTAATGCTGTGCTTCATCTTCTCTGGAGGGAGGAGTTTAGACTGGCCAACCATAGCTGAATGTTCATTTTAAAAAAAAGATCAGGATTTGCTTTTTTTCTTTTTTCTCTGCACACAAAATTTGCCCTTACTGAGCACATCCAAGAAGAGTATTTGTAAGCATCATAGCAAAATTTGTTATGAACAATAACTCACGGTCCACAGCGCTGCTGGATGCAGAAGCACCCATTCCTCGGTTTTGGATCTGGTATACAGGCTGTGTAGGTCGCTGCCCCTCTCTCTCCATCTTGGAGGGCCCGGGGCCAGAGGGCTGAGCTGCCGCCTCTGGGGGGGTCCCCGTCTTTGTTCCATCATCCCTGGCTTTCATCAGCATGATTGGCTTCTCCAGGACTGGAGTTCCACTGACAGGTGCATTTGCCAGTGGCTTGGCCTTGAAAAAGATTAATTTAACAGCACAAATCAATGGATCACATGAGTGGAGAAGTAGAAGAAAATCATGCCTTGTGTTATGACTGCTTATTAATGTTGGCTCTTAACCTCCACAGGGATGGTTATGTTCACATCAGCGTTTATTTCTGTTAGTTAACAGCATTACATAAAAACGACAAAGTAGATTACCATGAAACTTGGTGGAAGGGTGCAGTATGGGTCAGGGAAGAAACAGTCCTAAATTCTATAAAGAACTGTGCTTTCAAAGCACCCCCAAATCACTTAATGCAAATGTAACATAAAGTCCAGTCTGACTTCCCTGAGAGCAAAGTGCTACTTAGATGTACCAAGCAACACTGTACTGTTTATGTTCAATAAAGAATATTGCAATAATGGTTTAGAGTGTGACCCCCAGCCAACGTACCCTTTCTCCGGGGGGCTTGGCAAGAATGATGGGGGTCTTCTGGATGAGTGGACCTGGAGGATCCTCACTCCCATCCTGAGCAGACACGTGAAAGCGAGTTACTACCCAGTCACACCAGCAGTGTCAACAACCCAGACTCCATTAGCGAGTGTTTGTGTTACCCTTCTTTCTCTCGGTTGGTATTCTCTGTCCCGGCTCGGACCGGACAGGTTTTGCCCCGGGGGTCCCACGTCTCTGTCTCCGCGGCGGCGCCTCCTCCTGCGCCCCTGCCCGTATATCCCGGGCTGACTGTGGCCGGACTCTGACATGTCGTCTCCCCGCTGCTGTGAACACAGAGCTAGCAAAGCACTGGAAAGTAGAGGCGAGCTAAAGGTTGTTGAATTTAACGTATATCGTCTCTCCACTATGAGTCCTGACACATCATTCCCCTTAAAGTCTGACCTCATCTAGTAGCGACACCGCTGCAGATCAGACACAAGCACTTTCATTACGTTGCCTGAAGCTTTCATTTGGTGCGCTTGTTTTGTAACTCGATCTCAACTGTTAAGTTATATCTTTGGAGCGGTTCCTCTGTATTAAGGAGCTCCACCCGCTTAAAATGACAACTCGCTACTAATCAAACGCAGCTTGTCCTTCTGTTAAATAAAGTCGTTCTAAAACATCGTAACGATTTAGTTCCGGTTCCCATCAAGTTCCAACAGTCAGTGACCACTTAAGTTGTATGTATTAATTAACAGTTCTCTGTTGGCTTTTTGTTTTATTGGAAAATAGATTATTATTAATAATAATAATCTTAAAGAAGGGAAAAGCTACTATATTTCGTGTATACATTATTGAGATGTGGGCGTCTCTTCCGGTTCCAACCGGAAATGGAGGATGTCTGTGTGCGGACGCCATCGACGTTAGGGTAAAATGCACTGAAATTAAACATTTACTTTATTTTAATGAAGTGAATCAGAACTTTACTATCGTTCCCATCACAGCTAATCGTGCCGGAGACAGACACGTGGTGATGGAGGCTGTTCCTCTGAAAACCCTAGTCAAACAAGTCAACATTAGCTGTTAGCAGTTTGTATAGTTTTAGTATCGTACAGTAAATCTCTTGGAGTTCGGTTATTTCACCGGTGTGATGAGCTGCAGGCTGCGGGGCTATGTTGCTCTTTCTGTAGCCAGAGGTGAGTAGTTTCCCCGTGTAGCTTTGAGTGCATTGTGTTGTTACGCGGCTCAGTAAAATCTTCTCATGTATAAACCGTGGGCTTTTAGTTAACTAGCTAAAACTGTTCAGACGAAGCAGATTGTGTGTGGTCATGTGAAGACAGGAAGTAAACCACAGTTTAGAGGTGCTACTGTTGCTGAAACTCAAATACATTCAAATGTTATAGCAAAGACTAAAACAGCTGCAGTCACACCAACACCACAGGCATGCTAGCTTCGTTTTGACTATGGTACTCTATAGGTTTGAGCATAATGCTGACATGCAACATTAAAGTGGAAGCACTTAGGTTAGCCTATTAGCACGCTAACCTTTGCTAGCTAGCGCAAGATAAAAATATGATCGGGATTTGTGCAGATAATTAGACAAAAACCATGAATGCTCAACTGCTTGTTTGTGAGTTGTTTCATGGCAATCTGGGTGAAAGTTGTGGAGATATTTCACTTAAAGCTACAGGTGTTTTATCAATTCTAAATCTCATGGCAATCCATTACATGGTTGCTGCATATCAGAAAATATTATCGCATTTTGGTTTGTCATTTGGTCACTCAAATGAATTAGCAATCATAAATTAATATGATGTAAACTTATTAGCTTTGTCAGTAATCTATATCATTTGTAGTATAACTTTACAGGTAAAAATCACATTTATAAATATTTTTCAGTCATTCTGTCTTTTCTGCTCTGACTTGCAGACCACTCAGACGTTGCCTTGACCACCTCGTAATGTCTGAAGACTCCAGCAGCGATGAGGAATGGCATAGATCTACAAAAAGGCAGGCAGATGCACACGCTGGGTTAAATGTTGGGAATGTGACACAATAAAACTTGATGTCGCAATTCATAAACCAGGATATAATGCGCATTTGCAACACCTGACTTGACTCTCCACCCGTCTGCAAAAAAAGTGGCATCAGTCTTTCAGTAATGTGTGGAAATTGAATGATCATGCAGAGATACATTGCAGCAAATCAACGCAATGTAAAGAAGTTCCTACTTTGATTCCTGCAGTCGTATGTCAGATTCCCAACACTGACATCTTTTCTAATGTGGTGACTCTTTAGCAAAGCACAGAGTCCGGCTCACCTGACTCAGTGTCAGAGTTGAGGCTTCAACAAAGAACTGAGATGAAGCCTAAGACACTGGAGACACCTGACAACAGCGTGGAGTATATTGTGGTTGAAGATGATACAGACATGGAAAGTGACAGTGAAGAGGAGGAGGATTCTTCAAGTTCTGAATCTGATGATGAAGATGAGCTCTCCAAACATAGTAACTTGTGTCCCAATGATCCAGATTTGGACGATGACTCAAGTTCAACTGATTGTTCCAGTGACTCTTCAAATAGTCTTCACTCAAAAGAAACTGCAGCACCCCCCCCTAGTGTTAATAGTTCAATATGTGCTGCGTGTGGTAGGGGGCCCTTTAGGTCGATGAAGCTCCATTTGCTGCACTGTAGTGGTATTAAGGTGAAATATGAGTGTTCACTGTGCAAGAAGCTCTTTCTAACGGAGGGTGCTCGTGATACACACTACATGCCATTGTATTCATGTCACATCTGTGATCAAGTTTTTTCTCACGAGAGCTTGTACCATCACCACCAGTGTCCAAAGAAAAGCAAGCCACCTTTGGTCTTCTTTTGTTCAGAGACAATGCCTAAAGCATGCAACATATGCAAATCCTTTTTCACTTCAGAGAAAACTTTGTTAAACCACATCAACAAAGTTCACACATCAGTGGTCAGCACTAAAATATGCATTATTACCGATCCATCAGCCTTGACCAATAAAAAGGTTTCACAATCTCTCTGTGGCACAGCTGCCCAGTCAGCCATCACTACAAATGAAGTCAACCAGGTCAGTAATGGAAAGCTCCACATCGGCCTACCCTCTGCGGGGTCACACTCCACTTTTGCAAAAACTAGCCATTCCTCTTTCTCAACCACACGCAGACTTCCTTCCCAGTTATTCATGGCGTCTGCTGCTTCACCTGTCAGACTAGAGAAAGAAAATGCCCTAGGTGAGCCAACCAACAGGCCTCCAACTTGCCTTTCTGCACAGACTAAGAAAACTCCAGCCACTGCAACCTCTGACCCCGAATCCCCACCAGCACCCACTATTTTGGCCATGTTTGAGAATGACAGCCAAGATGTGGCTTTGATGAAACGCATGAACACAAGCTGGCGCTCCAAGGTCCCTTATTCCTGCAGGCAGTGTGGGGCCATCTTGAGGCAGCCCTCCTTCATCATCAGCCATCGCTACCTCCACAGAGGCCACCGCTCTCATCGGTGCCGGTGTGGACGAGCTTTTAAGCACCGGCTGCATCTCCTGCGACATTGTGTTGAGCATGCTGAGGCCATGAGCTACATCTGCATCAGTTGTGGGGAGACTTTCATTGGAGCAAGACTCTTAGCTGAGCACATGAAAGGCAAACCACAGAAAAGGTCCAATCATTCTGGACATATGTGGAAACAGAAAGTTAAAAGAAAGTGCAGAATGGCCTTTACATGTGAGTGTGGACAACTGTTTTTAAGGCCCTCTGCTTACATATGGCATCAACTTCAAAACTGGAGCTGACAAAACATCAACATGTAATCAGTTTTTCAGATCCTTCTTCAACTTTGCGCACCACGCTTTGTAAAAGAAAGTGTTACAATAAAATTGACATTTTGTACGTCATCTGATTGCCACCCTTCTGTTTAAAGAGTCACTGCAAAATCACATACACGCTCTTTCTTAATGGCTCTTTAATTACAAGCATGTTCTGGATGATTGTTAACATGTTCTCACCATGTGCAAATGATACATAGTAAACGTTTAGAATAAGTTTCTTTTGACAACATACTGAAGTACAAAGACAGTCAACCCACTAGGCTGTTTTTTCAGTATTTTGATTAAGTTAAAAAAAACACCAAACTCCAGTTTATCCTCCAGAGGAAGGGTTAAGTCCAGTTTTGCTTATTTTTCTCAAAGTGCATTTTAACAGTGAGGGGTGTGTATGGGGGGTTTCTAAGTCCTTGTGTGTTCTGTTTTTCAGATAATTTAATTTCAGCCTAAACTGATAGAAAATGTCAACCTCTTCTAAGACATCAATATCCAGGTTGAAAATAGCAAACCACTTTTTTGTTTAAAATGAATGTTATACATATATTTTTGACTCTTCACAATATCACAGTCAACTTATTTCATGTCCACTTGGTGGAGCTGTTGGGTTGATAAAGGTTGATCTTCCAAGGCAACTTGAACTGAATTTTGATTATTCTGAGAACAGGTGTCGACTGCAGATAAAAATCACAACCCTCAATGTGGACATTAATCTATGAGTTCTAGTTTATCTCTGTTAAGATGTCTAGGACTTTACTTATTGAAATAAAGGTTGTTCTTAACTTGAAGTATTTTGTTCTGTCGGTGGAGCATCACATCAATTATCTTAGTAGGTTGAAGGAAAACAGAACAATGAAGAAGTGTTAGTTTGTACTATATTCAACAAGCCTGTATGAAAATAACATTTGGCCTGGGAACCTTTAAACTGTCTACTAATGAACTAATTATTTGCACAAGGGTCTTAGAAAAGTTAGAATATTGCAAGAGATTTCAAATAACATTAGTATGTAAAAATATATCTCATTCCACAGGAATAAGGCAGTAATGGAGTCCATCAATGAAATCTTAAGTGTAGCAGTTCAGAGAGCAATCCTGGAGGCATTACATAGATGTCCACAGTCCTCGTTTGACATTAATTCAGTTCCTTCAACTGCTGAAATCACACAGAGTTCTCAAAATGCATATTGATTCTTCGCCCACAGTGAATAGGAGTCTTATTTTATCCGTATACTTTTACAGCTATGAGTCACTGTGCAGTGGACTCAGCACAGGGCCAGAAGATGAGATCTTTAGTAAGTATGCCAGTCTTCCAAGTGGTTCAGCAAGTTAGAGTCTGGAGCAGCTGTGGGTGGAGAGGATTCACCGCATTTTCATGGATATTGTAAATTCAAACACTGGAGGCAGTTCACTCTCTTCTTCAGAAACGCATGGAGCCATGTCACCTGCAAAGAAAATTTAGACGAAAATGTGTTATTTTCCTAAGCAGGCATGTTCCAATTAGGGCAGATCAGTGTACCACATCCTGCAGTTTGCTGTTAGCAGAGCTGCACAGTGTCACAAGCACTTCTCGGTGATGTTTACCTGATCTCTGGCTTGTGGTGACGTAGGACCTGAGACAGCATCTCAGATGTTTGTTGGAAGCAGCGACTCAGTTCGTCCAGCTTCTGCTCCATGGAGAGGATACGCTGCTCCAGCTCCCGATAGGAGTTGTTCCAGTTGGCGCTCAGGTCACACATGATCATCTGCATCTGTCGAAACCGGCCACACTTTAAGTATATGTTACAGATTTACAGCAAAGCTCTTACTTACTGACTGAATGACACTGTTATTATTGTGCATGTTTGAGGCCAACTCAGTGAGGCAAGCTTGAAACCACCCAAGTATTGTTGACTCAGAAAGTGTCACTTATGTTGGTAACTCCTTTAGCAAGTTGAAGAAACCGGCCGTACAAACATGTTTTTTTCCCTCTATGTTAAGTGGGACTGTGGCTCAGCTGCATTTAGTCAGTAAGTTTTAAATTCAAGATTCAAGTTTATTTCATCGCTCATAGCTGTAAAAACGGAGTGGAATGAGATTGTGTTTCTAATGACCCATGTGCACATACAAACGGTTAGAACAATACAAGAAAGAAACAGTTGGAAAAATAAGACGTGCCCAAGTTAATATAATAAAATAAATAAAATGTGCATGTAGTTATATGGTTCTAAAGAAAGTAGGGCATTAGACTTTGCTAGTTAGGGAGAAGTAAGCCTTTATTCTTACGGCCAGTGGGAAGAAGCTTCTGCAAACTCTGGCTGTTGTACAGCATGTTGGGCTCACTGCTTGACTGTATCTGATGGAGTGATGGTGGCATGGTTTACTTTTTACATCTTACTAAGAGGCTTCACTTGAAGACTGGAAAAAAACAGGCTTGTTTTCCACATAAATCAATAAGGAAATGTATAAATTTCACACGAGTGCCCCGTGCTGGTTAACATCTTTATATCTTGGGGTTATCCCTCTGTGCCTATGAATTCCTGACTCAAATGAATCCTGAGACATTTTATGGAGATCTTTTAACAAGCCTTTAATGCGTCTGAACACTTGATGATAAACAGCAGACTGTAAAATACTGTGTAAAGAACTGTGTGAGTAGTGATTGTTGCTAGGGCAAATCTTCATCTCATGTGGCATCGGCCTGTACTAGTGAAACATGCATTATATACAGTGACAGTGTCGCTCACCTTAGGCAGGTCCACCATCTCACTTACGTAATCCCTCAGTTGTCTTTGTTTGAAGCGTAAATGACGAAATCTGCAGAAAAAATGGTTTTGTATAGAATCATATTTTCAAACACTGGGACAATAATGTTCATTTTATTTATTTTTTGCTCCAAGATTACAGTATCAATAGAAGAAAGTGAATAAAACAGTAGAGCATTAAGTCTGAGATATTTAAGTGAATAAAGAATAAAAGTCATAAGTTGTGTTATAAATCGCTGCCTAATGGAAATAATAGAAATGAGAATAAAATAAGTAAGTTACATGAGACAGTAAACAAATACAAAAGTGGCACTAAGTAGTTATGATAATGGTACGTAATCTGGAATAATGCACATGGAATTGAAGTAATATGATGAAATGTATAGTAATATTGTGCATATATATATATATATATATATTCATATATATGTATTAGATAGATACAAAACATTGATCAAAGGTTTATTACATAGTAAGGAGAGAAAATGTCTAAACTTTAAATGGAAACCCTAAATATTGAACCCAACATTGCAATTAACTCTCCATGCATGTGTAGTGTACTTAATCCCAATCTATGGATTTGCCTCCGGCTCATACTTTCCACTATGTATTTATTTATAGTGGTTCTGCCTGGTGTAAAGGAGGAAGTACAACCCCTCCACCCAGGCAAACACACATACTCCTGTTGTCAGGATAATGACCACACACCTCTGTACTTCCCATCTCCATCACTTATTCATGGAGGAGGAGCTTGGGCTCAATGACGAAGGACCCAGCTCAAATTGGGGAAAAGGTGGCTCCTCATGTCACGTTGTCTGTGTTTCAGAGGATTAACATTAAGAATTGTGTTTGAGAAAGTAAGCAGCAGTTTCATTTTGCCAGCACGCTGAAGAATGTTGTGTTTATTCTGTTGATTCAAAGGGTTGAAACTTGCCCTGCTGACATAAAACAGGCAAACACATCTAATTACTAATCTTAATTAGGCATTAAAGGCTGTGTCTCTGTGGTTAAACATGTTGACAGTAAGTTAATGACCTGTAAAATACACATCTAAGGCGTATAAATCACCAGCCACTTGTATCCCTCACCCAGATACCCACACGAAGGGATCACTCAGCGGTATGCTAACACTCACACTCTGATGGCTTCCAGAAGGCATCTCTGGTGTCTTCGGTGCTCACCGCGGTTGCCCTTTGTCAGGTTGGTGCGGTGCAAGAGCCAGCATTCCCTCAGAACATTAGCAGCAGCGTGGCGGATCTGGTAAAAATTGAATGATCAAACAAGGAAGTTCCGGGAGGAGAAACATGTAGATAAGACCATGAAGATAAAGTCAATCAAAGTGGCAGACTTGACCGAGCTTTTATCTTGTTTTTTCCAACAGAATCTGGATTATATTAATCATTTTACTACAAGAAATAAAATCACGAGTCATCCAAGCATGCTGATTAAATCCAGACAGTGTTTCCTGTTCGGCTCTTTAGCTCTGTGATGCTGATTACAGATAAAGCAGAGGTATAAAGCTTTTTTTTTTTTCACAGAGAGACTTATTTATGAGAATTTTGAAGAGCGGGTCACACAGAGTGGAAGTGAGATTCAATGCATTTGCAGGATTTCTACAGTATCCCCCTTTTTTCTCTTTGATTCTATTCGTGTCTGTTTGTCTTCCTGCCCGAATCACTGTAAGTGCCCCGTAATGATGTCACGCTGGCCCTGTTGTGGGGGTTATTAATAGAGGCTTGTCAATGTCTGCATCCAGATGTCTTCCCTTGTTCCCATCGGTGTAAATCTGGACTGCACCAGATAGCTCAGAAGGATGCACGAACATGCACAAAAACACACTTAGACCAAAACAACCACAAGCTGCGCGTAAAGATGCACCTAGTGACAGGATGCAGCCACCGGGAGAAAGGAAATGGTTGTATCCTCCAAAGCAGCGTGCCTAAGCAGAAGCTGCTTTATTTTAGTTTTGGCAAGAACCCGTAGCATTGCATACAAAGCACACAGAGAAACTGAGAATGTAGGAATCAATCAATCATTACGCATTCATGTATATTAAAAAAATACATATTGACTTTCTGGCAGTGTTTTGTACCTTTTATTTATAGGGCACTTGGATCCTGTCCAAGGCTACAAACAGAGTAACTCTTCTGCAAGCCACTTCCACACACACGTAAATAAGCTCAACCAGTTTCCTGCCCATCGCCGCACCGTCCTGAAGTGACACAAGTTTCTTTCCTACGAGTTTGTTTCCTCTTTCTGACACCTTGAAAAGGCTGTAAAGAGATTGGCACAGCTCATCTCCCTCCTCTTTTCCCACACTATCATGTCCTGTGGTGTCTCTTATTTAAAGAAAATGCAACATGGAAAGTAATGACGTGTCCATCCTGACCATTCCACGCACTTTGTCTTCGTAGTATTCGTCCTGCTACACTGTAGTAACCTCTGGGGAGGGTCGCTCACCATTGCCTAAATATTTGTATTGTGAAAGTGTTATAGTTTAAAATATATATACAGTAAAAAATTGTTGTCTGGCAATGCAATAGATCCAGTGTCTATATTATATCTCCAATTTATGATTTGAGGGTCGTGGCAGAAGGCTGGAGCCAATACCAGCTGACATTGAGCTCTATTTATTGGCCCAGCTTTCTATCGCTGGGCCAATAAATACAGACAAATAACAGTTCACACCTTCGGATAATTTCTTTTTCAGATTAACCTAATCTGCACATCTTTGGTCCATGGGAGGAAGCCAGAGGACCCATATATAACGACCAGGCAGGGAGAACATGCAAACTACACACAGAAAGGCTCTGGTCAGCTGCAAGGTTGGAACACAGCACATTCTTTCTGTGAGACGACAGCGCTAATCAGCACTGCAACACTGTGCCCCAACGTAACACAGACATTGAAAATAAGTTTGCATTTACAGCTGCATGACCACACAATCCTCAAATTAACATTGGCATGCAAACTAACCCCCTCAGCCGCAGGTCAGATGCCATATTTGTATACAGCTTTGTTATAGAGATAAAGTGCATTTTCTTTTTCCAGAATCAAAAATGAAGATATATTAAAATTGAAGAGTTACCAGTCAAAATTCATGATCTGTTGTGGCATATATACTGTCAACTCTGACTTCAGATGAGTCATCGGTAGACTCCTAGAATGTGAATTATTAACAAAAAACATTATTACCAATAATTAACTTTTCACTTCATTTACAGAAACTTATTGAAGTAATTTGATGTGTGTGCATTCTTTGTAATACTCAGGGTCTAAATATGAACAAAGTAAAAGTGATTCAAAGCAGCTGAATTCCAGAGCAAAGTGGTCCACAACCAAAAGTTATATGCTTGAAGAAAAGAAACTGCTAAACTGTTACATAGAAATACAAAACATGATGAGCATGTATGTTTTTCTGATATTCCAGAGTTTCATCACATAAACTTTATACATTTACAATGCACTTCTGCTGTGTTGCTTCTCACCCTTTTCGAGATCTGGATGTCCAGCATGAAGAAGTGCACATGTTTCTCTCCTTTGTTCAGCACCAGCTTCTTGGTGACGACTGCCACCAGCATGGCCGTGCAGGCTACACCCTAAAACACAACACACACACAGAGCAGTTGGCATGGTTACTGATATATTTACCATCTGCCTCAACAAATTCTCAATGATTGTGTGGGACTGATTCTTTTACAGCCTGATTTTAGGTCTGATGTTGTCTCATTCCTTGACAGTGGCTCTCGCCTCTTTTTTCACCGTTCCCCTCAAGGGAAACTAGTGATGCTTATTCAGAAAACTGGATGTTGATCTTCATACCTCATATGGTTTCATCCAATAAATCAAAGTTATATTTATAAAGTGAGTGCAATGGCGAAACTTAGGCCTCTGTGGCACTGCTATGTGGGTTTCCTCTGAGAATAGCTTTGTGCTATTGCTGGACAGACTGATGGTGAATATTCAGATGGGCCACAGAGTGAGTCACAGCCACATAGTCTCAGATACAAACACACAAACGTAGACAAAACACTCCAGTGAACCTGTAATCTCCACAGATAATCATAACCAGTGTTTACCTGTGTTCCTCTTTTCAGCTTGCATTAGAAAATGAGAGAAAGGAGAGATCAAGTTTGAACGTAAGCATAAAAATGCACAAACCAGAGTTTTGAAAGACATATTTATCCTTAACGGCCACAAAACATCAATCATTACACTGCCTGTGAAAACCTGGGAGGTACAAACTCTTTCCTTGGATCCATCCGCACATAGTGATGGGATGCAAACAGAGTTGTCAACCCCTGAACACAGCTGCAAATTGAGTTACAGCAGAAGTACAGAGGTTTTCAGCCATAGTACAGGTGCGAGTATCACTCCAGTCACTGGCTCCCAGAACTGCACTGATGGGAGTAGGAATTTTTTTTTTTTCCAAACCATGGGCACAGGTTGGCACACCCTCCTGTTGTAGTTAGTGCCAAAGACAATAAACCACCTAAAAATGGATATGGTGGAAAGTTTTCCCTTACAAGAGTGGGAGCTTATAAAAACAAGGCAGATGCAGACAGAGAGAGAGAGAGAGAGAGAGAGTGAGAGAGAGAGAGGGGGAAAAGACTGTTTTCCACTTTGTCACAGAGGTGTCTCAACCAGATCCATGCCCATTACCCACAACCGTGGCGACAGCTCTAAAGGAGGTGAAGCAGTGAGCCATGCAGTATTTTGTCTAAATACATAACCGCTCCTGGATTTCACTGACTTATTGTTTATTTAACTCCACTGTAACTCTTTGTGTTTAATCTCAAATATCATTTCCCCATCCCTTTGACCTCCTTATCACTGCCCTTCCCTCCCACTCCTTTTTGCATGCATCTTAACCCCGTTGCATTCCTTTGCAACACCATAAAAACTGCCTTATTAATTTGCAGTGAATTTGAAGAGACTCTGATTCTTTCTCCGCTCACTCCCTGGGATATTTTTTTCTTTTATTCTATGATGAGATGTATTAATAAAACTAATCAAAATTTATCCTCTAATGTATCTCTACAATTTATGATGAGAAGCACAGAAAAACAATGTCATCATTCAGCAGACACATCACACTCAATGCAGATGTTTTGTGTAGACTGCTCAGAGCCAGATCCACTCCAACAGCTTCCCTCCTTCTGTCTTTTGAGTGCATGGTACTGCCAAGGTCCTGCAGAGGCACCATCCATTAATTTACAGCTGTGATCTAAATCAAACACTCAAAGGAATGAAATGTCTGTCAGCACCTCTATGGTGAGCAGCCGCACAAAAATTGTCCAACGCGTCCAACATAACGAGTGGAATAGAGCGTAAAAGGCCTGGATAGAAGACAAGAGGTGCAGGAGAGAAGTGAACCAGACTGGACCGACCCAGGAAATGTGAAATAGGAAAATGGGCAAAAAGTAGCTGCAGTGAAACAGAACAGAAATGGAAGGGAATGAAACAAACCAGATGAGATGATATGGACCAGCGCAGAACAGAAAATAGCTGAGGAATATCCCACAGAACAGAGGGAAATAGGAGAGAGCAAATCAGAAAGAATACAGCACATTGGGGAGAAAGCCCATGGAACGAAATAGTCTGAAATCGAACAGAATATAATGGAATCAAATGGAACCAAATGGAGTGAAATGAGCCAAATCAAAACATGAGATATGAGCAGATTGGGTTATAAAAATACAGAACAGAGAGGAGATGGAATAAAGTGAAAATAAGGGAAATTTTGACCTGTACAAAGAGAACATAACAAAATGAAAAGAACAGAAACAGGACCACTTGTTTTTGTGAGCTCAATCTGGTCAGGAAGATAAGAACAAAGATAAGACGTCTTGATTCTTTGCATTTACCTAGTCGAGTATTAAATGTCCCTTCTGTTGAAAAAAATACTGATCACTGGCTAAACTGCATTTAAAAAAAAATCTTAGTACATCTCAGAGCATGAAACCTTCAGTGTCTCAAATATGACATTTCCTCTATAAGAAAAGCCACCCTATAGTTACCATGACTCCAGTGAAGAGACACACCACCTTGCCACAGCTGGTGGTGGGCGCCACATCCCCATAGCCCACTGTGAGGAAGGTGATGGCAATGAGCCACAGAGATGTGTCTATGTGGCCTGTTGATTTATTGGTCTGCCTGCAGGGAGTAAAAAACATAGATTGAGAATGTGTAGATCCAGCAAGGCCCAACAATTCAATTCAGTTTCATTCGTATAACCCCAAATCATTACATAGATTATCTCTCACATAGTAAGGTCGGGACCTTCAAAGAGAGTTCCCACAACGAGCAAACGCTGTGGCGACTGTGAAGATAAATAAACACCCCTCATCAACTGGAAGAAACCTCTGGCATGACCAGTTTCAGTTTGGCCATCTGCCTCGACCAGTTGGTGTGAGCGGTGAAAAATGGGGAAGCGAGGAGTGGGGGGTGGAAAAGAGAAGAGAGAAGAGAAGGGGGGGGGGGAGACCAGGAACAGTTGTGTGACCATCATATTTAAGCCCTGTCAGACTGGTTGTTATAATTAAAATGATATGGGTGATATTTATAGACGTAATGATGTTATTAATGATAGAAGCACCAGTAATGATAATAACAATCATAATGATAATAATAATTGTTGAGTAGTTCGCTTAAATCCAGTCACACTTATAGATACCTGTCCCCTAATATGCCTGATTTTTTAATCAAGATCCATGAATATTTCCCTGGGAAAAATATTCCTGATTCTGTTTCTTTCTTGGTCAAGTTTTTGTGGAAATATTTTTAGTAATTTTTGTGTCATCCTGCTGACAAACAAACCATAACCTCTTCTAATCAGAATGTCATGGGACTTGTAAAATGTCCCTGAAGCTATAAACTATAACTATGAATATGAGTAGATCTCTCTGGAACGGCATATCTCAGATACAGCAAACTATTAAACAGCTATTTGCTGTACACAGTGAGACTACAGAGTCTGATAAAGGTGAGCTTTGCAAATCAAATAGTGTATAAGCAAATAGAGTTAACATCATGACGTACAATTGTAACGTATGCTTGGCAGAACCCTCACAAAGAGGTTATTCAGCGTATGAGTGTTCTGTTTCCTATCACAATCATAGGAAAGGCTGGTGTGCCAGTTTTAATCAGCTATCACTCAAAAGCTCTTTTATTGCTACTGACAAATGAAAACACTTGAGACTGAGACGTGACAAACTGAAGGCAAACCCTCCCATTACAGTTAAAAATGACCACACTGAACAAACAGCCGAGCAGACTGTAGAGCATCGCGCGGACGTTTAGTTGGCTCAGGCTAAAGGGAAAATTGTCGGTGTAGAAAAAATAGTATATGATTATCAAATCGTCAAATCATTGTAAATCAGTTTGGAGCAGAAAAGTCAAATTGACCATCAAAGTTTGTGTGTGAGAGAGAAAACTACCATTCAGATGTGACAAATACAAAAGCTATGCTCATTGTTTTGCACAGCGTAATTAATAAAGCCCCCCCACACACACACACACACTTGACTCTTTTAATTCACTGTGGTTGAAAGCAAACAACTGAACTTCTTTTAAAATTAGCTTTCTGTAGTTTTCAGTCCGGACAATGCTCCTCTTTTACTCGTCATTTAATCTATTTTTTTTGTCAAGTGGTCTGAGCTGAAACATACATCATTTCTGTTTAAGAAAGGAATAATTATTATATTTTTGACGACGCAATTTTTTGCTGAGTTAAATGAAAACATAGATGAGCCTATTCCACTGGCATATCTGTGTCCTAATGAATTAACCTACAGTCAGCCTGGGTTAGCTAAGCATTAAGCATGCTGGGTTTTATTGAAAGGTCTAGAAATGGTTCCTAGCTGCACCTGGAAGTGCTAGGAACTAAGAAATATTCCAGCCCAAACCACCCATGAAACCACAAGGTGTCACTGTCACTAGCAGTTTCAGAGCAGGTTATTTCAGTGTCTCAGATCTCATGAACGAGTTCATCAAAGATATTTTTCCAAAAGAGTCGTTAAATGAATCCATTGGTGCTGTATACTGAACCATGTATATTCCTCATAGTCTGTCTATAAAGATGGTTGACATGGCAGCCCCCCAAAATCGAAGCCAAAGCATGGCGATCGCCACCTGGTTGCTGGCTGCAGTATATGTCATAATCACACCTCCTCCATGTTTGTTGCTTGTTCATCAATACCTTGAGATGAGACATGGATCAAACTAAACAGTCAGTTTAGAACTGTATAAATACATTTTAGATGGTTTCTGAGGTCCTATCACACTGATGTTTGTTGGTTTGAATTACTTATTTGATTTCAGAAAAACCAGGAGTGAAACGTCATGAATTACAGCTGAAGCTGACTTGTGATTCTTAGAGAGCATATAATGATGGGACCTCACTACCGCAGCTTTATCCCATTTCAATCCAATATATCTGAGCTTCATTTCTGGATAGTGGAAGGAATTGGTATTGTTTTACTCATCTTTATATACAGTCTATGATATTCCTCACAATCCTCCGCCTCTGGAACCAGAAGGCGTGTCGCATCACAATCTCTATTTATAATTCTTGGTTTTTAAATAAAATTCTTGCTAAATGTCAAACATGAATGCAAGTCCCGGACTTGGTCACAAAGATTCAAATTCTGCATGAACGAATCATGCTCAGAGGGAACTACTTGGAACTCAAAAATAAATTGTGCAATGACTCTGTTAATAAAGAATCCTTGATTACAATGGTTTCACTTAAAACTGGTGGGAACGCAAGCTGGTTCACTGAGTAGCACCAAGTTTCCAAGATCCAGAGTGGATCTGGTTGAAAAGGGCTATGACTATGAGCTCAACTGAGCTAAGACAGATTTCAGGAAGTGATTCAGTGTACTGTACAGAAATGAGAGTGGTTTCAGACATTCAAATCGCTGCAAGGAAGAGAGTACGCATATTTCCCAAAATAAACTGTTCCTTTAAATACACACTCTTTCTTTCATGGGTTTGTGGACAATGTGTTTTTGTCATCAGAGTTGTATTTTCTTAACTGCTTAACATTGTATAATCTTGTTGAAAACATTTCTAATTTCCATGTATGTCCCTCATAATATAACAGAGATCAATCTTTGAGCATGGTATAGTTCTTTCTGTAGCAGCCTCCTAACCGTATATAAAGATACTTATTATAATGTTTAATATGCACATATACCATTTGATTACTTACATGCAGTTCTCTTTCCCTACCTCTCACACAGCGTAAGCATCCAGGACGCAGTGAGCCAGAAGAAGAGGATGAAGACCAGCAGCGTGCGTGCTGGGTGCTTGTTCATCAGTACCTTGAGAACAAAGCGGAAGGTGAAGTTGATGTTGTTGAGCGAGCCGATGCTCCTGTAGGAGGCACTCAGCAGCACTTTGCTGTGCAGCAGGATGGCTCTGTGCACCAAGTACAAACGCAGGAACATCAGCACTGACAGCAGCAGCTCCATGTCCAGCAGGGCGCTGTTGTGATGGCTGTAATCACAGAGTGGAGCTGGGGAAGAGGAGTTGACGTGGAGGCCCACCTTCCAGTATGTGCCAATGGGATGGATGGAGCACACCAACAGCTCCACGGTGATCACCAGAACTCGGTGGCTGGTCAAAGCAATACGCCAGTCCACCTGGTTGTGGTCATTGATGAACAGCTGAAAGATGGAGGTGGACAGTAACAGCAGAGAGAAAGAAGATAAGATATAGAAACTGAAAAACATCTGATGGTTAACATTTTATATGTAATGTTTAGAAGTCATAAAAAAATCATTATCATTGAATCAATATCATTATAGTGATGTGGACAAAATACAAAACTCAGCTAGCACGTTTAACATAGGAGCCATGAATGTCACTTGTCACTTGAAATTGATTTATTAGTAATATTATTAGAATTATGATTATTTTTGTGATTATTTTTCTTATAGTTTGTCCACTTTCAAAATAAGTTGAGCTTTGTTCATTATCATTATTTTTTTTTAATTAAATCCTCTTTTTGACGAATTCTGGATCTCAGTGATTCTCTTTATTAGCGCATTGAAAAAAGTCTCTCAGGCCCAAACCTCCCTGAAGCTGCAACAATGTCATCGACTAGACGTTATTAAATGTTGGAATCAGTTAAAAAGAGAGAGTCATCTAACAGCGATATGAGGGGAAAATATTGAGGGGTATATGAGGGTAGGTATATTCACCATGGTATTCACCCTCTTTTCCTTGCTCCACCAATTATGACTTGTTACTGTTTTTGCACGATTTGGTTTGTCACCCCAGACACCGCATGTTTCGATCTCCACCCTGAACCTGCCCTTACTTATCTCCTATACGCACTCTGTATGGCCCCCTCTTGTATCTGACATAGGACTTGCAACCAAATAGATAATACTGAGGACAAACCCTGCAGCCCAACCACAATGATAAAAAACATGAATCCTGTAGCATGGTCCATTTATGCAAACATTTTTGCACTTTGAATATGAACGCTATGAACGAATCTCAGAGTAAATAACTAAATGTTTACTCAAACAAATCCATACACAATGACAGAGAGGTATTTGGATTGGAAATATAATGCAGCAGCAAAATTGTGCATGCTGTGAGCTGTGATCTATATCAAACACTCAAAGGAATGAAATGTCTGTCAGCACCTCTCTTCCGTATGTTTTATGCTAATAAGGAGCTAATGTTATTGGACTAAAGAGTGATGCACAAAATAGACTCATAAAGTTCAACAATGCACCTACAGACATGTACACACACAGGCTGTCTCACACACACACACACACACAACGTTGGGAACAGCGAGGGAAACTCACCCTTATGTCCTTGTAATGAAAAGCTATGATGAGGATGATGAGACACCCGGTGGACAGGCTGATGGAACAGTTGATGATCAGGGCGATGTTTGTGCCCTGGGGGAGGAAATGGAAACAAAGGCATGAAAATGAAGATGTCCATTATCAAGGTTTTTGTGGAAATGACGAGTGGAAAGAGAATCAAAATATCCATGTGTTTGATTCATTGTAATTACAATTAAAGTTTAATAAAAATAAAGGGTCAAAACAGACAGAGACATGGTAACATACTGTCACTACAGATCAATGTGAGCCCCTGACAGTCAGCACGCTCCTGTGAAGAGGTTGAGTGCAGTTGAACCTTTTGCAGTTTATAAACTGGTCGGTAAGTTGATCAGTTAAAACATTATACATAATGTAGCTCTACATTTCAGACAATTACTTTACAGTGAAAGTGGTTTTATAAACTTTTTTCTTCTGTTTTTTTCTTTTTGTGGTTTAACAAGATGCTAAACAAGAAGGACGGATCCCACACCTGCTTCCCACCTAAGATCAACTGCCAATGAAGCCAAGCATTAAACACAAGTCTCTTCAGTGGTGGACAAGTGCATTTTCATCTGCACAATGAATATTAGCATCTTTAGTGTGTACTTTTATTTCATTGAGTCAATATTTTGGTGAAATATTGACACATCGTGCTGAAACAAGGGGTAGTAATCATAAAATTGTAGTTTATTAACTAAAAACTCACTCATTCACTACTATCAGGTCAGCTATTTCACAAGGCATTTTATTTAGTTTTGGACACAATTATCACTAAATTGAAAATGACCATTGATCAATAATTCGTTATGAGTTGCAGCTCTAACCATATTTACCCTTATAGGGAATATGCGTCTAAGAATCGTCACATAAATATAGATATAAGATACATAACGATACTGAAAACAGCAAATTCAAGACTATACTTGGGCTCTAACAATTTCATTTGCTAACTGTGGTTGATGCTGGACAGTAGAAACCAAATCACCAAGGTAACTATAATGATTAAAGATTGAAAAGGTACAACTAATCGTCTGGAATTTTATCACAGTACACCGTGAACCCGGTAACCACTTCATCCCTATTATGAGCGATGTCATTTTCAGTAAGAGAATACATTCTCTAATACTGATACTACCAATTGATTCCTTTCCTATCTGTGAAGTGTTATGAACATCTTTTTTTAAAGCACAGGTTGTGTCAGAAGTTTCCTTGATGTAGTTCTGGAACTTTAAAAAGAATAGTGTTTTACCAGCATAACTGTAGGCTAACCTAATCCTTGCATTTCCAAAGGGGGTTTCATTAGTATTTTACAGAACGTAAAAAAACCCACTCAATTATAGTAACAAGAGCGCTCGTGATTACATACTTTCCGCTCTAGGGAACGGACAGCAGGAGACACTGATACACACACTGTGACCGTTTTCCCCGTCACGTCAAATGTTTTCAAGAAGTGTATTTAGAAAAAGAAAGCACAGGCCTCTGCCACACCACCTTGGCCTGAGCAGGTTGAAGAGCTACACCCTTTTTCATGCATCTCAGTGCCACTGATGCAACGTCAATGGAAGCTTTTTAACTGGAAGTGAAGTTTAATGTGGTTTACAGTTAAAAAGATAATTACAAACTTTCAAACTTGAGGAAACTTGAGCGTGTAGGTGGTATGGTGTGACGTCCATTGGCAAGGCATGTCGTTTTCCAGTTTCTCCTGTAGCATCCACATCGTGTCTGTATTTCATCCAGGGCTCATTAGAAGACCCCACAAAAGCTCAACGTTTCACCACATTCCATAACACAGAGTTCAACAACATGTTTCTTGCCGAGTTTCTAAAAAATGTTTTTGTACTGTTTTTCCAATTGGAAACATTAACTTCAAACCCACTGAACCTAATTTGGGTTAACACGCTTTTTTCTCATGGTCTTGGACGTGCAAAGCCACCGTAACCAGGACAGGCCACTGCAAAAAAAAATAGAATACTGAATCCAATGTCAAGTGTTGTATGTTCTGTAATGAATAAATACTTTCCAAAACAATAATACATCTGACATGAGTTTTCTAATGTGGTTTGTTAGTCAGTGTGGTTTTATTAGCTTTCATGTGGATTTTTTCGCTATAGGTCACTCATGGAACCTGAGGTATCCTGTAAAAAAAAAAAAAAAAGAAGCCTTACAAATAAAATCCCCCTAGATTATTAAACTAGTGGGTCAGTCACAGGAAATGAGACACCACAGGGGGTAAAACATTTGCAGGTTTAGTTAAAAACAACCAACACATGAATGCTGTGAGATTTCATAAGAAAATTAGAATTACACTCAGTAGAGGCTCAGCACTCTCTTTAAATTCATACACTCAAATTTCACACACTTACAGATATCAGGTCCATAAATGTGAAAACAGCACTTCTGCAATGTTTAAGAAAGTAACAAAAATAATTCTTGGATCCCTCTGATCGACCTGTACCAAAATTGACAGCATAACACCACATCCTGTCTCCAAGTTTTTGTGGGAAGGTGTTGAGCTATTTTTCGGTAATTTTGCGAACAAACAGACAAACCAGGGGTCTTCATGTCTGTCAAAAACTGCGTCAGATACTGTGAGTGATTTGTTGAACATGTGCTGCTGAGTGAAATCAACTCTGATGTTTAACTAACTTCACCTGGCGTCACATGAACAGTGTAAAGCACGGGTGTGGTTGATCTCTGAGAGGAACAGAAACCCACACATCACCAACCATCCAAGACCACAAGAACATAACATAGCACTTTACTTCACCCTGTGGTACAAGGTATGTGAACTTCTTAGCACTGCTGGTTTTCTGATTGACTATAGCGGGTTAGTTATTGGTTAACTCCAGTGTCTCATCAGCCCTTCATAAAACTTGGATAGAGAAACCCTCCGCCCTGCAGGAATATTACAGTGCTCTTTATTGGATAAGGACAGTGGTTTGTCACCACTAATCACCATGGCAGCTCATTTCAATAATTCCTGAATTCATCTGACACTTGAGGGCTGGATCTGATCTCACATGAGGTCGTCACAACTTCATTCCAGCTTTCGAAACAGTTTTTGCGTTTGTTGTGGCCTCGGCCGTAGCTGGCTCATACTGTGTGAAGTAGCTTTGTTTCAAATGGGCCAATTGTGGCTGATACAAAGACTGCTGCCTCTGTGGTGAAAAGTGACATATTGCATGCAGGAGGGTTACAGACACGGTGTACTGTTTTGTGAGGTAGGTAATGCAGGTCATAGAGCTACTGTAAGTCCAGTCAGTTTTTAAAAAACGGTCATTTTACACTAAAAATAGCTTCATATTAAGGTCTGCCACTTAATATTGCAGGAAATGCGGCTGCACTGCGTCAGTTTTGGTTTAGTTTTGCAATTGACAAGAAGTTACAATGAATCATTAGCACACAAAGAAAATTATTCATCAGCATTGTCATCTGGTTTGGGCTCAGGTCTGATGTCATTCCAAAACAACACAACAAATAAAGTAAATCCTAACAGAAGAAAGCAGCCGTGACTTATTTTGTTTTTGAAACTAAAGGCTCTCACACCAGCCACTGGAACAACAATGTCGCTTCGTCTGTCAAACCTAACCTGCACTTTTACAGTCACGTGTGTGGGAAGGAAACTAAAATGAGTTTGTCGAAATGATCCACTTCACTTCCTGTGTAAACACTAAGGAATATTCTCTTCAACTCCTGGACACCATGCTCGACACATGCACGGACATTGTTTTGGACCGTGAAGTCATTCAAGGAAAGTCATCAAAGAGTTGCAGAAAAGAGGACATGAGGTTGCATCCAGGTCAAAGTGCACTATCCTGGATCATGCCCAGCCAATCTAAGACACAGAGACTTCCAGACTGGCCATGCAAACACTCTAATTATACACTAAATGATGTGGAAAGATAGCCTGAAGTACTCTGAGCAATCTCGCTGTAGGGGAAGAGGTGAAATGTGGAAAAACGTTCCAGAAATAGCCCTGTTTTCGTGCATAATCATGAAAAGGTATGCTTAAAATATAACTTTGCAGAGTGGCGTTAATTCTGAAAAAACATCCTGTAGCTCACTTAAATATGCTTCAAAAATAAAAAGCAGTAATAGCATTTTGCACTGCAACTGTAAGGATGCTGTATATTTGTTAAGACGGCCCCTGTGTGACCAGAAGTCACGGCTCACACCCACAACTTGACCATCACATGACGTTTACGGATGAATGTTGACAATAGTTACATAACTGATGGTTAAATCAGCAGAGCAGCCTCTCCAAAATAATATGCTTTAACTGCGGCAAACAGCACTTTTCCAGTGCATCAGCATTTCCATGGTACCGGAGCTCATGGCTGTTGTTAGGAATGGACAGACAACACCTGTTCTTGGTTCGCATTTGTAAACTGGAATGGTAATGTCATCCCCGTGCCAGCAGTGGTAATTTCACGACCGTGTCTCCCCTGCTCCAACTCTCTCAACGCATCAGGCGTGTGTAGTTTTGAGGGCCAGGCCACATTTCCATAGGTTCCATGAGATTGCGAGCTAGAAATGTGGGGGCTCTTTGACAGTGTAATCAATCACTGACTCTCACAGCATAGAGGTGGTCTGATGTTTTGCGGCACAATGCATGAGAACTTTTTTCCACATGTGGAACTGGCGTGTGCTGTAGGAAGTGCAGGGGGAGTTAATAATTTGTTGATTGGGTGGCCTGGCATTGTTATCCACTGAGATCTGCATGTTAATGTCATGAGGCTGTGCTACCAAATAGTGTGTCTGGAAATGGGACTAACTAATCAGGAGGTCAGAGGGGTTCAAAGCCCAGGTGCAGGTTCTGCTGTAGAGCTGCATGGGTTCTGTGCTGTCTGCTAATCAGGGAAGCTGTTATGACAACTAATACGGCCAAGTTGTGTGTTATTTCTGCAACAATTACTGGCAATTTAGTTGCTAAATATATCACAAGTACAGAGACAATGTGATTTAATATCAATCTGTTGGTTTCTATGTGATTAGTTATGTCATAGTCTGAGCTCTGAAATCCCACAAACAGCAGCAGAGCAGTTGTTAACAGGCTCCATCAGCAATGACTGATGCTGAAATCTAGAAGATTTTGTAATGATTGAAAAGTAAATGTAATGCTGATACTGGATTATTACAGATGTGCTGCATGTGTGAATGGTCCAACGTTGCAGACGTAAATGCAGATGTCATGCAAGTCATTACAGCTCAACTTTTTGGTTTGATTTGTAAAATTAATATTTGTAGACAGTAGGGTACAGTCTGGTTTCATCACCAGCATGAGTGTGTGTCCCAGTTGACTTACCGGTTTATAAACGTAGGGACATATCTCCGCGTGGATGATCATGAGCAGGATCCCGAGCAGCGCGGTGCCCAGCGCCAGCGCGCACAGCCGCTTTTTATCCTCCAGTAAAACCTTCCTGTCCCGCAGTCTGTACAGGTCGACTCCCTCCATGGTCGTGCGCTTCCCGGGAAGCGACAGCGGCACGGACACCTCTGACGAGTCCCCGCTGACGTTTCGACTAATCAAGCCATCGCAGTTCACATAATCCAACACCTTGGAGTCGCCGGCCAGGCTGCGGCTCGTCATCTCCATCTCCAGAGCGCACACGGTCCCTCTCTCCCCGCCGTGCCCCTCCGCTGCTCCGTGCTCTGTCTGCGCTTTGCTTCGCTCCCAGGTTGGAGAAAGCATAGCCCGACGGGCGCACTGTGTACCAGGCTCTTCTCGCCTTCGTTGCTCATGGAAGTTTCCGGTTCACCTCAACACTTTGCCTCTAATACACCATCACCTTAAGCACTCCTACCAACCTGCGCGCCGTCTTTACGCGCACCGATGCCGCACTGGCACAGCAGCGGTGTGTGCGCGCTTGTGTGCATGGGCTATAATTTTAGGAGTGTGCGTCAGTCTACCGCAAATGAACTGTTCGTGTGTGTGTGTGTTTGTGTGTGTGTGTTTGTGTGTGTGTTCCTGAGGAATTTCGACGCATTAAATCTCATGGCAGGTCCACCAAGAAACGAGATGTTCTTTCATATTTTATTGTTTATTTGATTTGGATCAGTTTCATCAGATAAAATTAAATTGAATGGGGAAAGTGTATTTAAGACAAAATGTTAAAAGAAAAATCTGTTTTGTATTTAACTTGTCATGGATCAAGTCACGAATCCTTGTTTCCCTTCTCTGGAAATTAAAAAATAAAATATTCTTTTCCACAATGAACTTTGGGATTTGTCATTTTATTTTTGGTAACGCTGCAACGATGTTGAGCACTAATAATTGGTGAGCACGAGTTTGACGACAGCAGCAGAGTGACATCTCGTGGTTGAGCAACTTGTTGAGGTCCATTCAAACCATTCCGCATGGTTCACCAGAATTGGCCATGGCTCGTAGTCATGTATCTTAAAACATATATTTTACGGTTATTTTATCAATGTGCTTTACAGCCTCTTGAAGTATTATTTTTTATTTTACTAGGGGATTTATTAAACTTTGTGTCATACAAACTGAGTTGCTGTGGTGCCCTTTCATTTCCTACAAATTGATTCAAAAGGTTATTTCCATTAAAGGCCAAACAAAAAGTGGGAGCACAAACTCTTCCCTCTCCTTCTTTACTGGGCCTGTTTAAGGAGGAACAGCGTCATGACCTTGGGCGAAGTGACGCACCCAGAACACTGGAGTCCTTCCTGCTGCAGCATCCTGCTGGCGACCATGACTGTCCTCACAACTGACTGACAGCAGGAGCTAAAGTACACTTAATAAAGAGTTTCCTTTGGGGTCAATAATATACATATGTCATCTTATCAAACATCACTAAAATACAGCACCAAATTCTGCTCTTAAAGATTCTAGAGGTATAAAGCAAGAGAACAGAACTTACACTCACAGATGGAAGTTGGTTTATTCCACTTCAGTATAAAAACGTAAATGGCTGATGCACAATTTAAAAGCAAAACAACACTTTAAGCAAGCAGGTGGGCATCAAAGTTGCATGCAGTATATACATATAAAATAATTTAATAATCTTAATACATAAGAATCAGTGAGCGTAAAAGGATAGGATGAGGATATATAGCAGTAGCAGATTTCATATGGATAGTTATTTACAATAGCTTAAAAAACACAGGTTCAAGCAAACACATAAACAAAAACACATATTTTGTTGAAAGCAGGAAGTTGGAGCCATTTAAAACCAGTGTTCTGTGAAGTTAGAAATGCAGTATCCATCAGCTGCCGTTAATAAAAACTATACAATTTCATGTATTAGCCTAGAGTTGAGTGCCATCCACTGGTGGCCAAATAAATTACAAGTGATATTGGAAAGTGTGCATCAGTCTATCTCTGTATGCAAGTACTCTATTATTTACAAGCAGTTTGGTAAAATAAATTCTTGATATACAGATACTTCCACTTGAGCTACAATAGATCAAAACCCTGAATCACCTTTTACATTGATTGACAGTGAAGTATACACAGTGGAGCACAGCTGGAGAGAGAAGTGACAGACTGTGATAACAGCTGGAAAGACAATTATTTGGCATTGAGTATATTGCTGAGAGTCCCTGAGTTAGTCCAAGCAACCAGTGACTGAAGTCATTCTTAATGTGTACAGTATGTAAAAAAAATAGCTGTGAAGAGCTGACAGATTCAAGTGGTATCTCTGTGCTGAGAACAAGCAACTAATCACCAGTATTCAAAAAGACAGAAGAATCATTACAGGTTGTGCAAGAAACAACTACACAGTGGAAAACATTCTTTTTGGCCCAAGTTTAGACCTGACAGGACGCGGCTCAGTAGAAGAAGCTTATAACTCTATATCCGCCTTCGACTCTCGGTTGCTGGTTGGTTCTAACCCTTCACAGCTCCCCACGGCTGCAGAGTGGCCTGAGGCACAATGAACTGCGGAGACGGCTGTGGCAAGATGTAGTAGCCGAACACCTGCTGTGGCGGAGGCGGTGGAGCCGCAGGTGCACACATCGTGGTGAGGAACACAGGAGCGGCCTTCTTGTACTGAGGCCACACTGGTCCAGGGTGGTAAAAGTACTGGAGGCTTGCAGGGAGCTGAGCAGAGAGGAAGCGTGAAAGGAAAATAAGAGTTTAGCAGGGATGGTGGAGACTTTATCACACTGGTGTTGAGAACAGTTTGGTGTGGTTCCTTTCTAGAACAATACTGAAACTTAATCACTTAACTTGAGAGCAGCAGCAGATTGTGTTCAAAGTAAACAGCTTATGGTTTGTGTACGAAACAGATATGAAGTCGGTACTTTTAAAGCATTTGGCAAAGTGTGGGTGTGGATCAAAACATTTGATCCAAAACCAACACAGCTGTTCTGTGGCTGCAGCCAAGAATCTTCATACCTGTACACGTTGTTCTCTTATATTATAAAATAACATATGAGTCAAAGTTACAGACTGAGACATCTCTGTAGATGTGTGATGCATTTCCAAACACAATCATTTCCTTCTTATTTTATTCTTACTATTTTTCCCCATTGTGCTGCAGTGTTAAATTGATTTCCCCCTCCAGGAATCAATAAAGGTCTTATCTGATCTTGTTTCTCAAAACATGTTGACTTCTCTGTCCATTGTGTAGCACTTAGCCATAAGCCAATTTATCCCTACTGAAGACCAAACACTTGAGCTAGTTCAAATATTACGTTTTTCTGTTGTATTTGGCATATTATTGAAAAAAGATTAATTAGTGCATTTATTCAATCTATTTTATATCTATTTTCAGTTGTGGATGAATCAGCTTTATCCTTCAAATGTGAGACACTGGGTCCTTACCATATTTCGGATGTATTTGATTTTATTTGGTCCATCTCCCTGTCGCTTCCGAATCCTGGGCACCATGACTATCGTGTAGGCGTCACTTTCTGCCACTTCCTTCTTGACAACCTCCTTCTTTCCCCCTTCTTTCTCTTGCTCGCCCTCCGTCTCGCGGTCTTTTGCTTCTTCCTCCGTGTCACTCGACGCGGTGGAGCCACAGTCTGATGAGGTAGCTGAGTGGTAATCTGACGTTTCCAGGTTTATTGAATCCACCGAGGAGTCACCCTGTCTTCCCTTCACACCTCCTTCCTCTGCCTCCTCCTCTTCTTTGAAACTGGCTATTGTGAAGGGCCTGCTGTTCTCTCCAGATCTGCGAAGAGGGAGTGGATTCCTTTTTTTGTATCTAACCGTCACAAATATTCCCACTTTTTACTTCACCCACTTGTATTTATTCATCCTTTCCCAGAATGCATCATGACATCGCAATTCTTGGCGAGACTGAGAAATGCCTTGTATTCATTGAAGCCTGTCTGTATGTGTCACCCGGGGACTCACCTTGCACACACTTCTAGTGGGTCAATCCACACGGTGACCTCAGGCAGCAGGCACAGGTCACTGAGTGTGAGCTCACTCTCCTCATACGCCTTCAGAACCACTTCATCACAGAGTACTCCATTATTTATCCGAATGCATCTGTGGAGGATAAAATGGTTAAAAATTCAGTACGTCATATGTGGATCTCAGTTAATAAACCGGATAGATTTTGTTGAGTTTAGTGCAGATACCTGTAAGCCTGGCCTTTGCTGGGGGAGTCAGGGTACCAGTGATCAGTGTATTTGTCACATAAAAGCTTCTGCAGCTTCTCAGCAAACAACTCTGCTTTGGCCTCGTCGAGCTTGCCACGTGCCACCAGCAGGCGTTTGAGGAAGTTCACTCCGGCCTTCACCTCTCTTTTCATGTTGTCTGCAGAAACTGAAGGTGAAGAAAAAAAAAGAATAAGTTGAGCTGCCAAAAAAAGTCCTCTTTGCGTTTCTTTCTGTCAACAGGAGTGTGGGGCTCTGTCATCACTTGCCACAATCACTATGTTTGTTTCAAACCAAAGCACAGAGAAGCAGAGTGATCATAGTTTTAGGTAACAAACTGTGACTTCCCTCCCCGAGATGTGGGGGAGCAGGAACACAAGCTGCAGTGATAACAGCACTTCCCTGTGCAGCTGCCCTTTATCCTCCTATGTTTTTTTTAAATCATCTCCAGTTGAACTCAGCGTCCATAAAGGCTGAAGTTTTTATTCAGGCAAACAAGATGCAAACTAGCAGTGTGCATTACAACATGTACAAATTTTGACATCCAAATGAGCTCATAGTGTTGTTTATCTACTGATAGTGTGTCTGTTTGGGTTGAGTGCCAATGTCAGTCTGACCAGGAGGGAAGAGCACGTTCAACGGAGGCCATGGAAATTCAAACTTTTCAGCGTGCAAACTCACTGCTGAAGTCCCTGACCACTTAATCTTGCCTTGAACTTCGAGGCGCAAATGCTCATTTGTTATTGTGGCTTGTAACAGGCCGCCATTTAATTTGACATGTGCAATGTGTTGTGAGAGAAAATTGCTGTTGTGCCCTGGGACATGCAGCCACAGCCTTCCCTTAAAAGCAGCAACACAAGTAAGAGCAGTCGTAGACATTAAATCCTATCACAAGTGTTGACATGAACTAAGCATCAGCGAGGTAAACAGGGTCAAATACCATGTATTCTTCACATTGTTTTTGCCTCCTCTGTGATGCAATCCTGTTTTGCTTTCCATCATGCAGCAGCAAAATACTCCCATTCCATCAGCCCGCCAGCAAAAAGGGTCATAAATCTTACAACACTGACCTGCAGGACGTCATTTAGTCTGACAAACATACAAGAGCACAGGTTTTTCTGGTTTATTTTTCAGTTTGGGATTTCTGCTGCCACATTGATGAATGTTTAACAGCCTTGTTCTCGAGTTCCTGCTCATGTGGCCTTAGAGAGGCCACAGAATTTCAAAACCGATAAGATGTTTTGGCTGACGCAGGCATTTGTGGATGTCTCGAAGCGTTTTTGGGCTTGAAGCCTCAAAGTGATGGATATGACAACAAAGCCTTTTGCCTCTGTTTATCTTTAAAATTCAGTTATCCAGAATCAGTGTGAAATAATTTACAGCAAAGGTTTTATTACATGTTAAACCAGCATGTTACGTAGGTCAGCATAACCAAGTCTGCTACTAATGATGAGATTTACTACAGATTCCTCAGATCATTATGAATAACAAACACTTATTAAACAGCAAAATATTTTAGAAATCTGAGGTTGATCAATCAAGTTTGCTTTCAGGAGTTTAAACATTTTTTTTTTAAAGTATATTAATTATACTGTGATAATTGTATTGTGTTTTTGCCCAGACCTGAAAAACATAGTTAAAAATAGTTTCTTCTGATTGTCAAAGCAGTTTTTTTTGTCATCCATCTGTCCATGTGTCCAGTGACAGATGTAACTCCTCGGATATATTATAAACACTGATTCACTGCGATATGACTCATGTCTTCAGCAGGATTGCATCAGGTTACATTAATGATGAATGTTTGTAGATACCAGAGGAAGTGAAAACACAATCACAGCACTGACGGTGTCTGTTTGCTCTGATTACTGACTGGTACCATGTCTTTGATATAATCAGGTGTCCTGAAACGAGATGAGCAACTCGGCTGCCTCGCTTACTGTCTGTTCACTGAGCAGTGACCCACTGTCATTACCACACTCTGTCTGCTTGTGCCGTTTACATTTGACTTGACCCATATTTAGACTCCACTGACTACACTGCACTTTTTCTCCAGTATAAAGACTGAGGGGGTGAGAACAGGCTGGATCACATACATAGAGCTAATTGATGAGCTACATGAATGTTGTGCACATGCAGGATACTTTAACTTCACATGAGTTTTTTTTAAAGGCCAAACAGACGTATCACATCCTGATCACTGTGGTTTGCAAATGAAACACACAGAGATCTTTTGTCCTCGTTTGGTAAATATTCACCTCAGGTGACAACGAAACTTGTTTTCGCGTCTGCGAGAAACAAAGGAGACACAACAAAGACGTAAGGACACAACAGTGCCACCCAACGAGGAGGACACGTGTTCGAGTGCGTGTTGTGGAGACCCATAGTACATCAAATAACAAAGATGAAAACATCATAAAGATAATTCATTCATTGGGTTTTTTGTCTGTGTGAAGAAGGAAACTGAAACGCTACACACTGGAAATAACGCAAATGGGTTGAGTGACAGTGCGGAAAGCCCCCAGTGGAAATACAGAAAGTTAACAGAAACTATCCTGAAGTGAATTCAAAGTGTCGAAAACGTATTTTAGCTAAATAAGATATATTCAAACTAATGTTACAATCTGTACGTTTAAAACCATCTTTAGAAAGAGACTGAAGTGTGTAATTACCAATGACAGTCAAATGTGAGACAGCGATGAAACTGTTCACACAGTACAAAGAAAAATGACGTAAAAGGTGAATAAAGGTGATGACTAAAACCACAACAACGCGACAGCAACGGAGCAGACAATACACGTTCATCAGTAAAACAACGCTAAGAGCAAAACACGGTCCATGTTCAAGATTGAATCCAAACTACACAGTACAAGTTTAAGAAAGAATAAAAAGTACACAGTACAAGTTCAAGATAGAATCAAAACTACACAGTACAAGTTTTGGAAAGAAAGAATAAATCTACACAGTATTTGAATTTCCCTCCGGGGATTAATAAAGTATTTCTGATTCTGATACAACTTTAAGAAAGAATGAAAACAACACAGAACAACTTTAAGAAAAAAAGAATGAAAACAACTCAGTACAACTTTAAGAAAGAATCAAATCCAAACGGTACAAGTTTAACAAAGAATAAAATCTAAACGGCACTCACGGGTAGAAATGAAGAATAAGAGTGTGTGGATGTCCAGCA